TGTTGTTGGGGGCAATATGCTGACTCTGTAAACCGCTTAGAGAGGGCTGAAAGCCCTATGAAGCGGTATATAAGTCTAACTGCTAACTGCTATATTTTAGTGCATTTCTTAATTTTGCTTTTTTTTCCTCCCCTCATCCTCTTTTGTTAACTTTTTTTTCTTTGCATGTAATATTTTTCTTATTTAATAAAAGTTTTTGGGAGAAAATCAATATGCTAAATAATTTATTCCAGTCCAGTTTTAATTCTTATGGCTAAAGCTATCCATAATTATAATTTCTATTCTTATGCCTAGGTATTGCCAAATTCAAAAGATGCCTGTTTTGCTTCTGCTGTGGAATGCCTACAACAGATCAGGTAATTTCAAAATTAGCATACTTACCTTCCCAGCTTTCAATGGGAAATAGGTTGACTTGCCTTGTGATTAATGATTTTGCGTCATATACGCAAGCTGCCTCATTCACAGTTTTAATGTTCAGGGCAAAGGTGCTTTTACAAGAGGCAACTGGACTTCCTTGTTTTTCTTTGAAGACATTTCACTTCTCATCCAAGTAGCTTCTTCAGTTCTCACTGGATGGTGAGGAATGGAAGGACTTACACTCATTGCAGACAGTGGTCATTTGCATTCTTTTGTATTACTATAGTTATTTCTGCTTCCCTGTAGTGTCCAACTTTCAATGTTCCCTGTCGTCATGTTTCTTTTTCTAATCAACATTTTCCCACAAAAAAGATTTCTGACGTCGTTTTAAAATCAAAAAGATATATGGTCTTTATAAAAATTTTACAACCCTTGGGCTGATTCTTGCAACTAAAATCTCACCGCAAATCCATCTGGCCCCTTAGTCCTTTTATAACTTTCCAGAACTCTGTGTTCTAACCATTCTTTTGCTATTTATTCCTAAATAAGAACGTTCCAGTCTTAAAACTTCTTTCAAGAAGAAGGAAACTCATCCTGAAGGCCTCTCTCTTCTTAATGGTTCACCGACAAAACCGCGAAGCCCTTTTCCGCGCCGACATAACCGCGGAGGGCAAATCCGCACTGTCTGAAGCGCTAAGCAAAATGCGACCCTAGCGTGCCGACATCAGTACTACATTTTACTGTCTGTAATTGATATATTTATTCCATTTGATGCAACAAAATAAACTTTTNCCTCCCAAAGAGACACCGCCTTTGCCACCTGGGAGAATGCCAGGTCCACCCTGGCACTGCCAGGAGCACATTCAGCAGCTGCATTCCCCCCTCCCCTTCCTCCTTCCCTCCCCAGCACAGGAGGAGCTGATCCCACCCAGGGGGTGTCTCAGTAAGAACCACTTTTTCCCTTGGAGAGCACCGGGATCTCAGCCCCAAACCTCCCGTCCTGCTGGCCAAGAAGATGCCACCTGCCAGGGCAGCAACATTGCCAGCCAGTGAAGGGCCCCCCCCCCGCCTTGGCTTGTCTGCACCCGAAAATCAAAGGGCCCCCCAACATTATTTATCCCTCCGTTTCCTGCCCTCCCTCCAGCCTCTTGGGTGGGGTTGAAGAGTTCTGGAAATCATTGACTGTATTTGGGGGAGGGACTTAGAAACTTTCACCATCTGCATGCAAATGGGGGGGGGGGATTGGATTCCCAAGTTCCTCAGGCCCCCCTCCGAGCTGAGGGGCAGGGAAGGCCCTGTGGGCAGGTTTCCTCTGCGTTGCTCCGTTCGAACATAGAATAACCGAGTTGGAAGGGACCTCGGAGGTCTTCTAGTCCAACCCCCTGCTCAAGCAGACCTTAAATCATCCCGGAGAAATGGGACCCTCGGCTTCAGAAGGGAACCTTGGTTGGCTTCGGCAGCTATTTTGCAGGTCCTGCCTGAACATCAACCCCACCCCCACCCCCCCCGAGGTGGACACCTGGTGAATCCCCCGCCTGGGGTCCTGGCTGACCCATTGGCCTTCATCCCCTCTGCAGCCTGCCTGCAGTGGCCAGTCCCGTTTTGTGGGAGAAAGGGGGGACCCCTGCGGCTCCTTGCAGAATTCCCACTGGGTTGGGGGGGGGGGGCGAAGGGAAGAAAAACTTCAGATCAAAGCCATAAGATCAGCCCAGGCCAGCAACAAAGAAAACCAGGGTTTGTTGGGGAGCAGCTGGTTCCCTGGGCTGAAGTTAGACTGGGGTGGGGGGGGGAGGCAGCCTCCTTTCTATCAAAGCTGGGCGTTGTGTGGGGCAAGGCTGTTAAAGTCGATTTCGTTGACGGCTGCATCAGGATTGTGTTTAAACTCGGGGAGGGGGGGGGCAGGCCAATGTCACTCGTCTTAGAGGATCCTGTGGGGGCCCAAGTGCTCGGCCAGCGAAAAACGTTTCCTCTCGAGCTCCCTTTTCACTGGCAGACGGTTGCGGGAGGCTGTCGCAACCTAAAACGGAGCCCGGAGCCCCTTTTCACTGGCAGAAGCATTGTAGAGGGCCGGCCCTTCGCTGTTTCCAGGGTGGCCCCGCAGGCTGGATCTAATCCCCCCGTGGCCTGGATCCGGCCTGCAAGCCTTGGGTTTGACACCTGGTGGAGAAGATGAGAGGGAATTCTAGGGGGTTGGTCTGCCTCCCCATAACCCCAGGGGAAACCTGAGATATGGGTACTCCCCCGGATAGGGGTGCATTCCCACCAGTTTGGAACCGGCAGCAATCCAGGCCTGCCCCGCCCCTGAAGCGGTTCTCCTGGTGGCGCCATGCGTGCCACCATCTTGTTTTGGGCTTCTGCGCATGTGCAGAACAATTTTTATTGAACTACGGATGCACGCATAGCGCAGATCAAGCACATGCACAGCCATAAGTGAACCGGCGGTACTGCCTGCCGGAACCCACTCCTGTCCCCGACGTATAAGCATTCAGTTAGCGACCACTGAAAATTACAAGGGCACTAGAAAAGTTGACTTTCCCCCCCATTTTTCACACTTAACGACCGTTGCAACATCCCCGTGGTCACATGATCCAAATTCAGATCCTTGGCCACTGACTCTTGACAGCCGCCGTGTCCCGTGATCCCCTTTTTCCAACCTTCTGGCGAGCAAAGTCGAGGGGGAAGTCAGATTCACTTAACAACTGTGTTACTAACATAACAACTGCAGTGTTTCACTTAACGACTGTGGCAAGAAAGGTGGGAAAATGGGGCAACACTCCCTTAAGAAATGTCTCACCTAGCATCCAAAAATTTCAGTTTCTCAATTCTGGTCTTAAGTCAGGGACTTTCCTGTACTCCGTTTCTGCTGCTCTTAAGGGCATGGTCAGGAAGTCAAGTTGACATCCAGAACGGTGTGATTCCACATTTGAAAAGGTGGAAGTTTGTTCACACCATCCTGGCCACTCCTAAGCCATCATCCTCTGACCGGAAGCTTCTGCCTGCCCAGGAAAAGACCTTGCCTGGAT